ATTTTTTTAATTATAGTGTTTCTCAACATCATTTCAGGGTACCACAATGATGGATTTTAGATAGTTTCTTAAGAATATTAATGTTTATGAAAATCATTCAAGAAAATTTTCAAGACACCTGGGGAGTGAAAACAAACACCCTAGTGGAGCCAGTACTTTAGTTGGGAAGATTATATAATCTTCCCAACAGACATTCATTAAATATTATAATAGCATAAAGAAAACCTATATAGCTGGAAAAGGGACAATGAGATAGAAGGGAGGTGGTTGGAAATACGGCTGGATTGGGGTGTATGAGGCAGACTGGAGAGCTTTGTGAACCAGATTAGGGACTTTTTATTTATTCTAGGAGTCTTTGAGGTGTGATAAGATTCATTTACACTTTGCAAAGATCCCTCTACTTGAAAAGGAAAGAGAAGAGACTGAAGAAAAGCCAGAGTAGACACTGCTCCCTGAGTTAGGGGACATCTACAGTAATCCAAGTAAGGAATTTGGATTCAAGTGCTGGTGGATGAGCTGAAGACAAGGGAAGAGAATCACTGTCAGAAGTAAAGGCAATAGGGCTTGGCAATGGAGATGATATGAATATATTTATGGATATCGTAACTTACATTGTTCAACAATAATGTATTTTGTGTTAGGTTTTATGCTAGCTCCTTGGGGATACAAAGATGAATGAGATAAGATTCCTGCTGTGAAAATCCAACCTGTTTTAAATAAATATCACCTCATTAGTATTTAGGCAAAAATAGCACAAAAATTCCTTTTAAGTTTGCTATGATTATCTCTGGTGGCAAGGCATGAAGTGCCCTTGCATTTCATTCAGTCATGAGAAAGAATAACCCTGTGATAAAGGATTTACCTGATTCTACAGATGAGGGATGCGAGGCTGAGTGAGTTTAAATTAGTTGCCTAAGATCACATGACTAGTAAGGGACTGAACCAGTGTTTGATCTCTCTTCTTTCAGACTCCAAAGCCTACCTTCTTAGTCATGCTATAGCTCCTCTCTGTAATAGAAGATTCAGTAGGGTAGTGGCTAATACAATGGTAGGAACACCTTAATACTCAGCATGTAGTGGTGGTTATTTATTAACCGGAGAAGTTCAATTTCAGGGTTTTTGGCTGTGTCTGCTACCATTTTTAGTTTTGTTCAATATAGTCAATTCTCTTACCTACTCCGATAATTCTCTTCTAACAGCTTCCATTCCCATGTTCAGATTGCACAAAAGAGTGCAGCCTGATAATATAAATGCCTCATTAAAGGTTGGGCAATTATTAACATCACTTGACAGCAGTACTCAATAAGCTATACTCCACACACACAAAAAACAAACTCCTACATTTAAAGCTATTACGTTTGATACCTTGATAGAAAGAGATATTAAAATTGGAATAGGTCTTCATGATTAGGATCAGGAATCTGGTTCTGTGGACACTGGATTTGGAAATCAATATAGAATGAAAAATCTCTTTGTGGCTGTTGATAAACTTCTAAATAACTTGTCCTGGCTTCATTTTCTGGCCTTTGATCTAAAAAAGAAAAAAAAAAGTAACCTTTTGTAAACATGAATGGTCTTTTGCATGTTAGAGAGATGTTG